CTAACTTCTATTCAAGTTATCTTCTTTCCTCACACTTCCATTTTGCATATATTGTATTAGTATTGTCTTGCAGTCACTACCGTAAGACCTTTTCTTCTACGCAATTGATTTCATTGCATTCTGATCATCACAGTGACTATACATCCAGAAGCTAGCACATTCTTATTATTCTTTTGTGAAATACTTTTCCTTTGTCAACATCAAATCATATGTCCAATGACAATTCAGACTCTTTGTCTCAGGATAGGAGCCCAGAATTGGTATCTCAACACATCCCACAATCTCGAGATGCAAACACTATGCATTCTCAGGACACGCTTTCCAGGTCCACATCTTAATATATCTCTTTCTTTAAAAAGACAATGCTTCCTGCTGCCCAAAGAACAAATAAAAGGTCTAAGAAAGGAAACAAAGGCAAGGATGATCTGTCCAATATTGCGAGCTTGTCAAAAATGGTTCCTAGTGATTGCATTGACTGCATTCAATTCCATGCTGACCAGTGTCAAAAATTGGTCAATGAACTTGTTGTTTTCATTATCTCAGAGCAAGAATTCCTTAAAAAGCTACAAGATATAGGTGTCTCACTTGATTAGGCTTGAGACTTTGTTCAACAAGCTCATGAACGGATGGACATCTGCAAATCTAAAAAATGTCAGGTTATCACACCTTCTCCCAAACCCAATCCTGTTGTACCATCATTCCTTGACAACACTAATGCTGCCTGTTTTCAAACTCTACAAGTCAATGATTATTGTGACAAACAAGAAGATGGAGGTTGGAGTGAATTGGAGTCTAGCTTTGGTCTCATTAATTGACAATGTGGATCACCTACCATCATGGACAAACTTGTTGAGCTCTTTAGTGAAGGCCAAGACAAAAAGCATCAATCGAGTATTCCAGAGTCTATCATTGCTGTCACCCCTCATCTTGCCTAATGGGCTGCATCAAAGCCAGAGGACCCCCATCTCGAGAGGACAAAGGAACTTAAAAGAGCCTACTTGTCCAGGGTAAACTCTCTTATCAATTTTGCCAGAGGCCAATCTGTTAAAGATCCAGTATCACAAGGAATCTCAAAGCTTATCATCTTGGACCAATTTGTCAAGTTTTCAAGGCTTTATGCAACCTTTGCTCCATCCTATGACCAAAACAATAGCTCTCATGAATTCAGTCATGACTTTGTACTGGTTGAAAAAGATCAGATTAATCAAAAACACTCTATCATTGATCAAGCTAATTGGTCCAAATGCTTCAATGCATGGAATGAGGGTGTCATCCTCTTTTATCTTCACCGACAAGACAAATTATGCATCTACAGAGAACAAGTTGTTAACATGTTCCAAAGTGAAATTCATAGTGTCTCTGTTGCACTTGCCCTTGACACCAATGTTAAGAGCTGCTACGCAAATCAACCCTTTCACCTTGACAATGTAGTTAGATTGCAGAAGGTTTATACTAATCATGTTATCATTTCTAACTGTACCACAACGCAACCTGCATCTCACTCTGACTCTACAATGAGAAAGAAAGTTTCAATTATTTGCTAGAATTGGAACTTTGGTGCATGCAATAATGAAGCTTGTCCTTGGAAGCACGGTCTGTGCAATGAGTGCCATAATCCTTACCAAGCCAGAGACAATCTAGAGTGCTTTGAGCAACTCAAGGCTCAAAAGAGACATGTACGCTTTGCAATTAGAGAGGGAGGATGATCTTAAGCAGACAGTTTCTCTCAAGCAGCTCAATCAGAAACAAAAATTGGCGCCACTTGTTTCAGATGACCCTCATTTCCATTGCGGATTTGTATGGAATAGTACTCCAGATTCAAAACCATTCTCTTCTTTGGCCCATGACACCAAAATGTCTTCTCTATTAGCTTCACTTCCTTGTCATTTAATCAACAACCCTCATATCAAAGTGTCGCTGGATTCTTTGGAAGACTGTATCATTCAATGTTGATAGGTTTGAGACATTGCTATCTGGCCATCCAAATCAATCATTTGTCAAGTCAGTAATGAATGATTTGAGACGGTTTCTGGCCTTTCAACAAAGGCATCTGGAATGATGACAAAGATCCAATTCCCAATTATGCTTCAAGTTCTCGTGATATTGAGACAATACAAGAATTTTGAGATAAATAGATAGCCTCAGGTCACTGGTTAGAAGGATTCACTGTTGCCAAACCCCTTTCAAGCATGCATTCTTCCCCACTTTTTGTCGTCTGGCAGAAAGGGAAACCACAAGTAGTCACGGACCATTCAGCATTGGGTTTGAATGATGGTATACCACGACAACAAGCTAAGGTCACTTACGACAATATGTGATGCTTTGGACAAACCTTGTTCAATGCAAAGTAGGCCAGCCTGTCAGAAACCCTGGTATCATGGAAATCAGATGTCAAAAGTGCCTTCTTGAATCTACCTGCTCATTCCATTTGGCAACTGCAACAAACAGTTGAAATCAATGGTTTATGATACATTGTTTTCCAGTTAGTTTTTGGCAATTATGCGTCCTCACGTTGCTGGTGTGCAGTCTCTGGCCTACTATGTTGGCTTGCAGTCAAAGAATTTGCCATTGACAATCTTTTTGTCTTTATGGATGATTTTTTCTCCTGGTCAAAGGCATTGGACTTAATTTCATTCAAAGGGAGGCTATGTTCATCACCCCAAACCTGACTTCTTATATTATGGGACATGTTGGGCTGTCTCTGGGAAGACAAGAAACAAGAATTTGGCAAGAACTTAAAAATTATAGGTTTTAACGTCAAAATAAACACCAGTTCCTTATTCCTCTTGACTGAGTCAATCCTAGATATCAAGTCAAAAATATTGTCATTCTTAGACAACTTCAATCAACACCCACCACTTTGTGAATGGCAATTTCTTGCCAGACATTTGAACTAGATGCTTAATATAGTTCCATGGGCAAGGCCAGCTCTCACTGAGATATACTGCAAAATGTCAAGTAAAAAGCTTCATAAAGTGCTAATTCCACTCAATTGCAATGTCATTGAAGATCTAATATGGTTTAATAATGGCATGTTGCAAACGTTGGCATTTACTTTGTGGACTCTACTTGTTGGAATGATCATGTTGCCAATTTTGTGGTGTGGACTGACACTAGTCTAAAGATGACACTCTCATTTGTTTTTGCAGTACACAGCTTCGTATATCAGATCAATTTCTAGGAGAAGATAAAATTTGATATTTTCTTCCTGGAAATGACAGTCATCCTATCTGCAATTAACTTCATCTCAAATTTCAATCATCCGCCATGTCATGTTTTGCTTTATACTGACAGCCTTGACTCCGTCTGTATCTTTAACTCCCTCCATGCCAACCAATCAATACACAACACACCCCTCAAAGCTATCTCTCAAATTATCATTGAATTTCAAATGGATCTATGTGTATGACATGTTTCTGGCATCCAAAACATCCATGTCAATCTCCTTTCATGCCTTATGTTTGAGAATTATGCTAAAAGATTCCCCGCAAACTACATTTGCTTATTCAAGCCCCCTTGATACCTCTTACCAGTGTGATGGAGAGAGGCTTTTTAAGCCACTGGGACAAGTGTCATTGGATACCTCGTCCCAATCAATCTCTATCTCAAATCTAAGATTTTGCCCAACATCTATGTTTCTTTATTGAGCCAGCCACTGCGCAAAATTATTTAGCCAAGGCATGAGATTATATTGCATTCTGTAACCATTATCACCTATCTTGCAATCCAACAACAGAAACCTTATTCTACTACATTACTTAGACTTCCCAATCCATTAGATCTGCTTCTCAATACCTCACCGGGGCTTGATACTTTTTGCGACACATCTATCCAAACTTTGACAACAACAGAAACTACCCTTCAGTTTGAGAAACAATTTGTGGAGCAAAAAAAATGAGATCTACCCCAGTACGACAAAAACTGGCTCTTTGTATAGCTCAACTACAAATAATCTTCCACAAAGCTTCAAAATCAAAAACTTATGACAACCTCCTCTTCATTGCTTTAACATTGTGTGCTTTCTATGCTTGTCATTATTTAGGCAAACTAGTTTTACCTACAAAAATGGTTATTTGGAGAAAGACAATCAAACAATCTACATTCTCCATTTTATTGGCAGCAGTACTATCTACCCTACTACAAGACTGACCCTTTCTACCAAGGCACTGACATAATGTTCCACTCTCAGATGGTAGTGGACCTGGTTTTTATACTCTTTTGTTACGTCAAAAAAAAAGATGAACATCACGGTTGTTGAGCAGCCTTATTTCTTTGAGAAGATGCTTCAACTCCTACTAGAAATTGGTTCCTTTCATGAATGTTCCATTATTTTCTCAACTCTAATCTGGGAGGACATTCATTGCAAGCTGGAGGTGCTACTTTCTATGCTGCTCTAGGATTACTAGAAAGCATCATAAAAGCCACAGGCCGATGGTCCTCTAAAGCCTGGAAACTCTATATTTGGGACAACCCCTGTGTTTGAGTGGCCCTACACCTTGCAAAATCATATTCTCTCTAAAAATCTTTTTTTGAATTGCAATTTATAAAAAGCTTCTTTCACCACACATACATTACCACCACCACCCCTACCACCTCCTCAACACACTTTAATAGTCATATCTACTAATACATATGGGGGCTTATGCCTCCATGATCAGTCCGAGTTTGTCACTGAGACTTTAGTTTCACGATGTTAAAAGGAGGAGTCACAAAGTATATGTGATAATATTTTCCTCTGCATATTAGACAAACAGGATCATAGACTTAGTTGATTCTACTACTGACCATACCCACATGTACTAAACAACATGACTACTACTCCTTTACTTATTTTGCATTACCTACCCACCTCTCCTTTTTTTCTACTTCATAGCGCAAGCACTCGGTAGAAAGAAACCCTGCCTAGGCCCGTCCCCCGAACCTCCTTTCCCCATTCCTCAGAACACTACCCCCATGATAGGTGTTTATTTGTTCTAAATACCTTTGATAATGAAAACGTAGCCGCCTTGGCGTAGTGGTAGCGCGTCGCACTTGTAAAGCCTCATGAAGGTTTTCCGCAATGCGAAGGTCATTCGTTCAATCCGGGTAGGTGGCATGGCAATCAAATACTCGTCTTTTTTAACTATGTTGCACATGTTGTTGCTCCGACGAAAAGTAGCTTGAGACGGTATTTTAATTTTACACTTCACTCTCCTGGGCACAAATAATCTATGTGCTTGTAGCTGTATACATTTTATCCCAAGTACCTTTTAAATGCACTCGGGATGCAACAATCTTGCAGAATAAATATCATTATAGAGACTCGCGTCAACAAACTTGTAGATTTCTTTGAGGAGAGACATTTGTGAAAGAACCGCTCAAATTTGTGTCATGGATGTTGGGGACGTTACAGATGTTGAGAGATCTGTGGTTATTTGAAAGCTAGATACTCCCACCTCCCCGAGTCATGCCACAACTCATATAGAGACGGTGCTCTATTCACTGGGACCGTATTCTGTGTGACAGGCTGTGGGCTGTGTAGGGCAAATTTTGGAATGTGCACAACATAGGAAGAAGCGGTGTGAATGTTGCACATACACTTTCCTAGAACAGGCCACTGATTTGTCTCGATTGTCACATGCGACCGAATGCCTTTCCTCTCCCACATACTCATGAATAATGTCCATTGATGGTGCTTTTTGGTGACAACTCAACATTACTCTCAATTCCACTTGCGAACTGGTCCTTCACTAGGGGCTGTGAACTGTACCGTATTACAATTACGGACGTCAGGTGCCTCTAAAATTCCTTGACGGGTTATTTGACGGTTGTTATTACGAGATGATAACAACTCAAAATTGAATCCCAAGTTCTCGAGAGATCGCGCTTCCCTGCCTCGTGTCCCACCTGCAGACAGAAATCGTGAGTGTCTTCTGTCTTCCTTGGAGTGATACGGCAGGGCCCTTCTAACACCATTTTTAAGACGCACTCTGGAATTTAAGCCGTAGTCTCTTCAACACGATGGATCTTATGTCTATACTTAGCTATCATGATGGGATGAAGAAATGCACTGAGGAAAGTGGTGGCCATTGCTTCAACCACCATTATAAATGCCCTATTGTACCTCTCATATGTGTTCTACACTTGGCACACATCCACTCCACTCAACCATCCACTCCTATATATCCACTTGGCTTTGAATTGGCGCCCAGTCATATAAGTATGTTTGCAAATTATGTGCTCCGTGGGGGCCGACTGGCATTGTACCAATTCTACATACATACTTGCATCCCCCGGACCTCCCATATTGAATTCGGATTTTAAATTGACGTTTTAGTTGTACTGTATACTTTGGGTTGACATACATATGTACTTACATAAATGACACTCCGGCATTTCCTTGAAACACAGAAGAAACTTCACGGACGTCGATCACACTGTCAAGTTAATATGACATTGGCAATGGGCATTCCTGTTGGTTCAGAATATGAGATGAGATTGAGACGCAGGCGCGCCAAGGGATGGCAATCTGTCGATTCATCATCAATATAAATACGATGCATGCATCGGATGTTACTTATCTGTGACTTGGGTGCCCCACATGGCATTTGAAGATTGTGACCCCACTTTTGTTATTGTTGACTCAAAGGGCAGTCGTAGTTTGGAAACCTAGAGAGTGCCAAGATATACATACATTTGCAATTTGAGAGTATGGACACGTCATACTTAGCTTAGCTGCGGCTGACTACGGACGGGCTCCTGCAGTGAAAAGGCAAATAAATTCCTGAACTATTTGCCGTGATAATGAATTGCGACTGTGACTGCGCCTCCGAGGGCAATCGGGCCGCCTGTCATATGGTAGCTGAGCGCTGAGTGCTTTGACTGTAGTCGTACTTACACTTTGGACAGGACGTGCCCTCTCAGATGTAGCTACTTCCGCACCTGTCGTCAAAGTTACCGCAGGAGCCTCGAGGATTGAAGGGAAGTAAGAACCACGCTAGCTTTGTTCCATATATACGATAGTTTTCTGTGATCTTTGATCATGACCTAAAGTCAGTTGAGGTCATAAATGATCGAGATCGAGCTTTTTCCTGCTGTTCAGCTGAAGTTGCAAAGATGGAACTGCGCAGGCCCGCAGAGACAAGACTCTGATTGTCAAGTTGCCAAGTTCGTAACCACTGTGCACTGCAACAGTGGGTAACGAGGCAACCATTGTTCTGTTTCCGTCCCGAATTGATGGATCCTTGGAAATTTCGCTTTGTTGTCCGATTTCCGACAACGTACGTAATTCATATTTTAAGCTGGCCTCATTGCAATTGTACCCTCTCTTTGTTCTCGACCTTATAACCGTTCAGAATTCCTGATTCCCCTTACATTGTTGCCCTCACCCTGGTTGGTTGGGTCTCGCATATCACTGGTAATTCGCTTACTACCATTTCTTATATTTTCTTTGCCTATCTTGTTCAAAGATGGCCTCTGCATATCACCCTCCACCGACAATCAATAGTCTTGATCGCCACGAACGGATGCGTCTTGTACGGACCAATCGAAAACTCGAAGCAGTCCTGGGTGCTGCACCTTACTATCTCGAATCTCGCTCACCCGAGCGCTCACCTTGTGCACACACCGCAAAGGCCAGCCGTCGGGAGGGCCGAATTTTTGGCCATTCATCCACCCCCTCCTCCGCCTCCTCATCAACCACCTCACTGGACTCGCTAGAGAACTACATTCCAGTAGAGGACATGGTCCCCGTCTCCAAGAAGGGTCCGCGCAACTTGGAGCTCTCGCGCCCACTCCTTCTCCGCCTCCGATCTGTACCAGTCCCTTCGTCGGAAAATCGTACACCGCGTCTTCCATCAATGGGTCCCATCTCTCCAATCTCTTCGACATTTACCATTGATTTGGAGAGCATGCAGGCAACTAGCATGGAGTCTCGCCGGAAGAAAATTGCAAAGCTTACACGGACTCTCGGGGAGAACATTCCGCCAGAGCTCGTCTTTCCAAGCCCCAAAAGTTCTGATGCCGTTGACATGCCTCTCAAGGAAAGGTCGGTGAAGCGGGCGCGTATCCCATCGCCTTTCACTGCTCCCTCTCCGTCTTCCCACAATGACATTCAACATGGTTACGGTGCGGGTTGGGCCACCCACAACAATTGCAAAGAAGTGGGGCTCAAACTTAAACTTCAACTTGAAAAATGGCAAATCATGTTTCATCTTCGTACAATTTTTTCTGCCATTACATGGTGTCAATCATACCCAAGGAACAGCCTATTCGTACATACAAAGATAACAACTCGTATATTTATAGGTATCAACTGTTAGTACAGATATCTTCCGCCGCCCGCGCCTCACTTCTTGAGCTCTTCAAACTCCTTCTGGAACTCGGCCAAGGCATCCAGTGTCTCCGTGAAATGCTGGAAGCCAACCCGCTCCCCACGACCAGCGGCGAGAGAATGAGCCGTCCTCACAGCATTCTTGATCTGGCGCCCATTGACCTCACGCGCAGCAAGCTCTTTGACTTGTTCAGGTGACACGTCCCTCGTCGCACCGAGTTTCGCAATGAAGGCGGCCCAGACCTGCTCTTTCGACTCCTGGGTGAGCTCGTGGAAGTGAAGCGCAACGTGGATACGCGAGAGGAAGGCCTCGTCAAAGGCTTGCACGCGGTTCGTCGTGAGGAAGAGGATCCCGCGGTAGTACTCGACGTGACGGAGGCTGTTTGTACGTGAGTATCTGTAAGATCTCAGCTGAGATATCGGAACTTACAAGATGGCGACCATGGCGTTCCGTTCGAGGTCATGTAATGATCTTTGTTCGAGGAAAACATCGGCCTGGTAATCTCACCTGAGTACACATCGAGCCCTGATGTGAATGGATGTCGGCTTACCTCGTCAATCAATACAATACCTTTCCAGGCGGTGGCAATATCAAAGATGGTGTCCAATGCGGTGTCTAAGGCCGCAGCGCTTGTTCCAAGATCGCCACCACCAATGACATATAGAGGCCGGCGTACATGCTCGCTTGTCGCTTCTGCAGAGAAGGTCTTGCCGACACCCGGTGGCCCGAACAGATTGATAACTAGACCGTGCCCTTTGCCCTTGATGAAGTCATCAAGGCCGACCTCCTTATGATGAGATTCGACGAGCGACTTCAGGAGCTGCTTGCGGCCAGTAGGGAGCACCAGATTCTCAAAAGCATCCTCGTTCCAAGCAACGTCCTCAATCTTTTCGACATCGAATTCAACTACAAATGGGCCTCATGTCATCCAGCGTATTTTTGGATACAAAAGAATGTTCTGAACTCACGCCAGATTTTGTCAGAGAGACTGAACCCAAAAACAACGGAGGAAGTGAGGATCAGATCTTCGTCTGCCAGATCAAGGTTCTCAACATCGGCTTCGGGCGAGTTTGAATGTACAAGGGACCCTGGGTTATGTTCACAAGTGCACACAAGTCGAAAAAAGTCCGTGGCTTACCATTGGCGTATGCACCGGGTGTGGCGGCCAGCTCTTGTGGGGTCCATTCCTGGCGGTGGTCGTACCTGAGGTCTATCTGAGCTTCGTCCACCTGACGTCCTTGCATTTGGATCTGTGTAAGGGTCGGCACAGCAGTCGGAACCGGCGCATTGGGGTTGAGTCTGCGGTAGGTAGCTTTTAAAGTTATCGTCATGTTAGGATACAGCGGGACGACTATGTGGAAAAAAAAAATCACCTCTATCGATCATAATTCTTCCATCAATCTGCCCGTGGTATGGTTCAGTACAACACTCTCACCAATAAAATGCTCATCCTCACGTTATGCTTCCCAAGTTTACCGGACGCAATTTTGGTGGCTGCAATTCCTCGGTACTGCTTGTGATGCACGCCAACCAAACCGACCCACTTTTTACCGCGCTTCAGAAGCACCTCAAGCAACGCAGCCGGGTTTGGATGATATTCGAGTGGATAGGCGTCAAGATTCTGGATCTTCGTGGTGCCCTTGAACTGCCTAACGAGGATCTGAGTCTGGACTTTCCCGACCACAACGCTACCGTCTGAGATCCGGTCGACGAGATCGATACTTTCGCAGGTTAGCTGGTAACACGATTTGCCTTCCAGTGCGGTGCGCTGAGCGCTGATGAG